CTCCAGTCAGATAATAATCTGAAACATACTTTTGGCTTAGACCAACACGGTTTTAGGCCTGGCTTCTCCACTGAGTCGGCCCTACACCAACTGGTGTGGAAGAATAGAAAAAACAATTATATTGTGTGATGGACACTTTGCCACTGGTTGGGATAGAAATCCCTACTGGCAGGATATTGTAGGAGCCTTTGATAACATCGGTTTCGAGAAAATACATAAGGCCCTTATCTGGAAGTCATATTCACCCTATGATAACCTAGATGGGTCATCTTTCATGATTAAAAACAGGAATATCTGTGTTAGTCTCGCTGACTATGAAGTAAAGAGAGATATTACTAAAGGGTGTCCGCAGGGTGGTATTCTTTCTCCGTTCCTGTGGAACCTGGTATTCGACTCACTCTGTTAGTACTTCTACGGGAGGAACCTGGCATGTCACAGGCTTATGCAGATGACCTTATTGTGTTACTACAGGGTTTCGATATCGGAACCCTACACAATCAAGCTCAGCAAATCTTGAATAAAGTTTCACACTGGGGTGAAACAAATGGCCTTTCTTTCTCTGCTGAAAAATCTGAGGTCATAGTTTTCACGTGGAAAAGGAAATGGAAACTGGCAGATTTATATCTGGGTTAACCAGATTATCAGACACGTAAGGAATGCGTTAAATACCTAGGATGTTACCTGGAATAGTAAACTTCACATGGATCACCCATATAAAAGAAAAGGCACAAACGGCCACAAATGTTCTAGTACTTTGTAGGCGAATCGTTGGTAAACAATGGGGCCTTAACCCAAAATCTACTCTATGGATTTATACTGCCATAGTCCGGCCAATGTTTTCTTACGGATGCGTGGTCTGGATTAATGTTATTAACAAAAGCACGTATTTAAACATTTTACAAAAGGTGCAAAGACTTGCTTGCCTAAGCATTAGTGGGGCTTTAAATAGTACCCCTACTGCTGCATTAGAATTTTTACTGCAAATTCCACCTTTGAAATTATTCTTGAGCGGAGAAGCAATTAAAGCCATGTATAGATTGAATAAAAATGGCACATGGTGCCAAAGGACAGGTTTTGGTCATAAAAGCCACCTGAAAAGCCACATTGACATATGTCTGGACTTGGGCAATGAGATCCCTATAATCTATATGCCCAAAGATGCAATTACTAAAACAATAGTTCCAGGATAATCTATTCTCAACTTCATATACCAAAAAGGAATGAGATAGAATCTCTAATTGACCTAATTCCAACAGGATCAATTGAATGTTACACAGATGGATCAAAATCCAACTTCACTGGAGCTGGAGCTATTATAAGAACCAAGGGATCTGAAGAAGATTTCATTAGATTTCATCTATACCTTGGTAAATTAACAACTGTTTTCCAAGCCGAGGTTCTGGCGATCAATATGGTCGCCAGGGAGCTCTTAGCTAAAAATACAGTTGATAAGTATATATATATTCTCTCTGACAGCCAATCAGCCATCCTTGCCCTGGCTAATCGTGTCAAGTTACAAAATTGTGTTTTGAACTGTACTCAAGATCTTAATTCTCTGGCTCAGGCCCATAATACCATTAGTTTAGTCTGGGTAACAGGTCATTGTGATTTTGCTGGAAATGAACTAGCTGATAAAGTAGCTAAAGATGCTTCGCAACTACCCATGTCTGGCCCAGAACCATTTTACCCAGTTTCATATCAAACGGTTAAAAAAGAAGTAAGAAGCTGGATAAAGAACAAACATGATGATATATGGTCTAAACTACCAGACTGTGCTCATTCTAAATTGGTGCTCAGTACACTTAACTTTTCAGGTAAACTCATACACCTCAGTAGAACTAACTTACGCCGGGTAATTCAAATTGTTACTGGACATGCTTATCTACCTAAGCATCTCCACAAATGTGGTCTTGTCGAATCTCCTCTTTGCCCAGCTTGTGGAGAAGAAGAGGAAACATCTTTTCACTTTCTGGGACGATGTCCGGTGTTCTCTGTACCTAGAAACAAATTCCTTGGGTTTCCCTATATTACCTTTGATCAAGCCCTTTTATACAAAGGGCTCTCTGGCATAATAGGGTTTCTGATGTATACTAAACACCTACAGGTAAGGTGAATATGAAACCACAAGAAACAAGCATTGAGACGCCCTATGAGTTCTTTTTTTTTTTTTTTTTTTTTTTGAAAAGAAACTATGCAGGGATTTCCCCTCTCATAGCTGTGTTTTGGAATATAATTTGAAAACATATATCAAATCTTTATACACTACCTGGCCATTTGGCATGAGAATGCACCTCTGCCCTCCTTATTTATTTATTTGACTCTCCATCGCACTCTTGTTTGGTCAAGAATTTGCGTTTGGTGGTTTGGGAGGGATTGAATCGGTTTTCCATCCAATAGGGAAGTTTTCACGATCCAGCCGACACCTTGAACTTAGAGATGGGATCTTTTGCTGATACTATAGATTTGGTGTCAGTTTGAGATCTTATCTATTACTTACCTTTTACGAGAGTTACCACTTAAATCCCTTGATTTAAATGATCAAATGGCGGAAGAGTAATGGGCAATTTTGCCTAAACTCCTTTCCTTCTTTTCATAAGAAGGAAGCGCCCCTATTGTTATGTGTTATGTTCTACGTCAAAACAAGCTACTCAGCCAAAGTGTAGAAAGACAAAACTTTTGGTGAATAAACATTTAAAGTTAAAATAATGTGGTCCCATTGTGGAAAATTTAAGTTGCTGCACCAAATGATTTAATCCACTGTTATATTATGGGTTTCAAATGTAAGCAAACTCCCGCTACATTTCGCTACACTTAATCTTTTAAACGTTGTAATTCTTAAATTATTGCATGCAGATTAACTGAATGAATAAATACTTTAATCAGAACATAAGAGCAACGTAATCAGAAGCTTTAAAGCAAAAAATACACAATTTACCAACATATAAGAATAAAAACCTGAACTCACAGAGCCGGGAATGAGGTGGGACGGCCGATTGCAACGAAAAAAAAGAGAGCTGCACAATTAGATGCATAACAGTCCCATATATAAAATACAGGCCTACGTAGGTACGGACGTCACAAAATAATCTGTTTTGAATTTAAATCATGTTAAATGCATTTTACAGTACGTTTTGGAAGAAAGGAGGCTCTTTATTCTCTTCGTATGTGGAGATGTCTCGCAAAAAAAAGCCTTTCAAAAAATGGATTCACGAGCAGTCAAAATGAATATTTTCGTTGAAATATGATACCCGAAATTTTTCGCGATTACAGTAATACCTTTACTTCGTACAAGGAAGTAAAAGAAAAGTTAAAAGATTTATGACGATTGTTTTAAATGAGAGAATATTTCTGCTTTTAAATGGTATATTTGTAATTAGATTAAACTTCTGTGTATCATAATCTGCACAATCTTTACAGGATAAATGTAGAGCAACTGAAACGAAAAGTTAAGTTTGCCATTTAATTTTAGAATGAAATTAAAATTTATGTTTGAAAGAGGCTGTAGAGATAGAATTCCGTGGCACCGTTACAGTATATTGACGCGCATGCAAATGCCTTAAATCATGTCGCGGACAACCTAAAAGCTCTCCATATAGAAAGTTTAAGATTAAAATTCCAGGATTTTCTTCATCCTTCAGAAAAAAAGAATCTATGTGGTAGAATAGTAAAAATGGTAGACATCTTGCCTGCGAAACAGGAATCCCTTTAACCTTAGTAGAAACTTATAAAATATGTATTTGGATTATGAAATACGTTGAGTATTTGTAATATCTACAAGCTGCGGACAATTCAGTTAATCAATAAATGAAATCGGGACATATTTTTGATTTTAGTCTAATAAACTGATATTGATTTTAGTCTTAATAAATTGATATTGGTTTTAGTCTAATAAACGGATATTGATTTTTTCCTTAGCATTTGAGTCGCGAAGAACAATTTGAATGAGTAAATCAATCTCTCAGTTTATTTTAAAACATTGCTTGTTTTTGAGGAGAAAATTAGTCATTAAGAAGTTTATTCCTCTTTACAAACTTAATAAGGGTGCGAATGGAAAATCTTATATATATGCGGCTTAAGTGTTTGTCGCCGATAGTTTATTGGTTGCTTGCGTAAAGGTAAATTGTTTTATTTCCCGTGCAGTGCAGCGCGTGACGAATATCATGAGAAAGCTGAACCGGAAACATTTAAAATACAACAGCACGTCCATTTAACATTTAATAAATAAATTTAACATCTACATATAATAGAATTCGAAAATATGCAACTGGCAAAAACCGGAAACGATGAAAAAGAAATAAAATGAAATAAATAAATATCATTATTATATGCAGCTTAAGTTTACTATTTGTCGCCGACAGTTTATTGGTTGCTTGCATATATGTACTAGCCAATGGGCTGAAGTTGAAGTTTCAATTAAGACGTAGACAATTTCCTGTAAAACTTACCTTTGCTATGACCATCAATAAGTCTCAGGACCAAACGCTTAAGCGCGTTGGCTTTTTTTTTTTTTTTCCTACCTGAGCCTGCATTTGGACACGGTCAACTTTATGTTGCCTGTTCAAGAGTTCGTGAAAGAACGGACGTAAAATTTAAATTAATTGATGGTCCTCTGCAAGCCTAGCTTAAAAATTATGGAAAGATTTACACAAGAATTGTTGTGTACAAAGAGATCTTTAACATGTGAATTATCATTTTATTATTTGAATCACCTTTATTTATTGAGTTGGCGGTGGTTCTTAAGAAATGTACTACCAGTGGTTTCCTTCATTGCACTCTACTTTAAGCAATTAAGCAAGTAGAAGGAGGGAAAGCCCGTGGGCCAGTAAGCAAAAAGGCGTCCTCGCTGCCTGCCCTGGGTAATTCAGTTAGCATACACCTTTGCACAAATTATTTTAATTACAATTTATAATATCTAGAACAGTAGTCATTTCGTATGACAGCCGGGCTTTCTAGTATCTCATAAACTCGCACAGTTATAATCATAATACAAAACAACTGACCTGCTGGTATAATTCGTATTATGCAAGGCTCTTTTTGTTGTCCAATGGAGTTCTTAGCCCAGCATAATAGTGCTCCATATCCCAGCATCGTTCGCGGTGTATAGACTATTGTACTGACTGTTCCCTCTGTTGTCTGAGAGGGAATGTCGATGTTCTCGACGGTATTATTCAATGACCATCGGAAATTCACTTGCGGTGGATCGGCTTCAACTTCACAGCTGACATTAACAACCTCGTATCGAGCGACACCATGCACTGCAACGTTTGACTGTCGGCATACTGGGGCATCTGAAATGAAAGGACACAAGGATATAATACAAGAGTTTCAGTTTTCAGAAACAAGATTCTGCAATGATTAGTTTATATACGAGTCCTTATTTATCTTTCTTTGAGACACTTTAAGACTAATTAGGTTTTCGAAATGGAGAAACAGAAAAAATCAGCTTCGCCTTCGAATTATCGTCGTATTTCGAATTATGGTCGTATTTCGAATTATGGATTTTTCCAAGTGCAACTGGGCGTGCTAACCAAATACAGTACCATAGCGCGAAGTGGAAATGTGAAAATGATCCTTAAAAAATTCCCTAAAAAACCCTACCAAAAGGACCTTAGCCGAGTAACAAAGTCTTTGAAAACCGGTAGTTCGGTCCGAGGTTCGAATCCTGCGAACAGGCTGACTACCTGAGCGTTTTCGGGGTTTCCCGGTGTGTAACGTGTTAGTACGAGCAAATTTTCCTTAGAAAGTCCTCCGCGAAGGCATCCCTCCACTCCGTGTAGCACCTTAGGTTGGAATACATAAATAATAATAATAATAATGAAGGACTATTGAGGGAAGGAGACTTATGAAACTAAATCCAGATGGTTACGAACATTTTCTGCTCAATTCATTTCGGATGCTAGTGCATAACCTCGAAAGCGCTAAGATGAAAATTTCAGCTGGTTCTCCTTGACATTCGTACCATGGATCTTCTTGCCTATCACTTCCGTTGCGAAAGAATACTCGGTTTTAAAAAAAAAGACAAATCCTTAGATTTCTACAAATATTAAACTGCTGAAATCTAACATTCATTCCATATAATGAAACTGTGGTCCATGAACGTAATTTGTAAAAATATAGGTTAGCATTTATTTAAATTTACACAAAAAATCAAATATGAATTAGCCTATATAAAATTCTTTCTCGTCTCTATTTTTACTTACAAATTAATAATCTGTATATCTCTATAAAGGATTTTTAAAACACATATTTCATCAACAGCCAAAATTAGGCATTTACCATTTACTTTTCCAACCTAACCAATGAGGGTATAATGTTTTAATACAAATATTTGTACATTACGTTTATTATCTAGAAATGTTTTGATCTATGTATATGTTTTAATATATTTAAGAATACTGATTGAAATTCAAAGTTTATATAAAATGGAAATATATTAATTGCTGATATTATACTGATATAAGCTCAATATCCGCGACCGAAATCAGTTACGAAATTATGTGTGCAAATGTATTTGAAATAGAGAATACCCTTCAAATTGTAATTAAGGCCTGTATCCTTCGAAATGGAAGCAAACTCCACATTATCGAAGAGAAATAGCAGATCTATATGTAGGCAATTCAGAGTTTCCCTCTCTATCATCAGTCAAACGGTTACCATTGCACATGATGCAGATTGAGATTTGCCCATTGACTACACTTAAAAATTTGTATGAGGAATATTATCAGCCCATTATATATCACGCAAAGTATATTTTTATCCATACTAATTATTTATATGATTGGTAACTATTAATAATATTGGTAATTATTATTTATGTGTAGGTTCATAAAGTTTGTCGAAATAGGAAATATGAAACATAAGCTATGCCCACGGCTGGATTCGGGCACCGGACGTGTTGATGCTAGTCGGACGTGTTTCCAGTTACTCACGAGGGCACATGAGTAACTGTTCACTTACATTCTTTTCCACTTTTCCGTGTAGAGCTTAAGGGCATGTAATAATAAAAAAAATTGCCACTGAATACGTCATTTAGTTCGAGTGCCACATTAGGATATCTTACGGAAGCAGGAAACATGAAAAATGTGCGTTGCGTTTGCTTCGATTCAAGCTCCTACCTTCATGACTGATAGCCGAATTCGCTTCTGCCATGAAAGCACGTAGTGAGGAGGAAGAAAATATCTTACTAACAACTATAAATATGAGAAGACGTTTCAATGCTCTTTAAACACTTAAATACACTGGTGTGCAAAAATTAAGCACGAAGTCGAAAAATTAGCATATCAGCTGAACGAAGAGGCAGAGCGGACAGAAAGACCAATCAGGAGATTAAGTAAGGTGATGTACGGTAGCACATGCACAGATATGCAGGTAGACGTAATGGGGGAGTGTCTGAGTAGTATAAAGCATGTTGTCGGTGTAAGATCAGTATTTCTGGCAAAGAGATTGCACGCCGTATAGCAGTTAAATTCACACCGAGTTGCTGCCTCAGCAAGAAATAGGGAATAATCAATCTGTTAGACGACATCTGGATGCTTTTACCCCAGGTCGAATCATTGGGAAGTTGGAGGAAGGCCGCAGTGTGACAAGTGTGGCTGCAGAGTTCGGAATTGCTCACAGCATCGTTTCACGACTGTGGAGACAATTTCAAACTACAGGAACAGCTATCCGGGGGTTTAGTAGGGGTTTGGTTTAGTAGTGGTCGTACACGAGGAACCACACCCGCAGATGACCGGTATATTGTCTTACAGGCCAGAAGAAACAGGCGGCAGACAGCACGAGAAATCGCTAGACCCACGACACAGGCGACTGGACGACCGATATCGCGTTTTACCGTGGCCAGAAGACTGCACGGTGGTGGTCTGTTTGCACGACGCCCTGTACGATGTGTACCTCTAACGCCTGCCCATCGGAGAAGGCGTTCTCTGTGGTGCCGGGAACACCGGAATTGGAGAGACAATGAATGGGGACGAGTACTCTTTATAGATAAGAGCAGATTCAGTCTGAGTAGCGATTCTCATCGCATACTCATCTGGAGAGAGCGGGGAAGCCGCAATCATTCCTCGAACATCATTGAAAGGGAAAAACAGGTATGGAGGTGGCGGTGTTTTCGTTTGGGGAGGCATCATGCTTGGTAGTCGTACAGACCTTCACATCTTCGACGCAAGTTCAGTCAACGGGACCCGTTATTGTAACGAGATTCTTCTTCCATATGTGCGTCTTTTTAGAGGCGCTATGGGTCCGCAGTTCCTTTTAATGGACGACAATGCACCATGTCATCGCACAGTAGCTGCCGAACAGCTCTTAGAGAGTGAGGATATTGAATGTATGGATTGGCCGGCACGATCTCCGGATCTCAATCCCATCGAGCATGTATGGGATTTTCTAGGCAGACTCTTGGCAGCTCGTACCTTACCACCAGTAACGATTCCGGAGCTTCGATTGGCGCTGCAAGACGAATAGGCAGCAATGCCTCAACAACTCATTGACACCCTCATTCTCAGCATGGGCAGACGCTGTGAAACCTGCCTAGCAGTCAGGGGAGATCATATATCCTATTAAAGACCGGATGCTTCTTGCTGGACACCCATCACAGGGATGTTTCGGCCTTCAGTCGCATTGCGCTCCATGCTACTTTTTCAATAAAGCTTCTTTTTATCCCTCTGATTTCTCTTTTAGTAAGTGTTGCTTACATTACTCATGTCCTTACGTATTGGGGATCTTACGGTATTAAATGTGTTGATTTGAAAGCTTTTGTACAAAGTTATATTGAAAAAACCGTCTCGTCCTTAATTTTTGCACACCAGTGTATTATTTCTACCACTAGAAAAGCCTTTAGCGTTTAAAAGTCTAATTCTAAAGATATCGAATGACTTAAACATTGTCATTATCCTATTACTAAACGAAGAATACAATACATCAAATTCCATTTAAACTAATTGCTGTTAAATACCAGCACGATGATTTTCGGCGATGTCATATTTCATACATAAATGTCTTTAAATTTGCAGTGTTTCATATTAGCAAAGCTGCAAAAACGAATTATTTTCGCCTCAGCGCTGCTGAACATTTTCTTCCGAAATGTTATATAATTAAATTTTGCATCCATTTCCAGAAATCCTGTAATAGCTTACTTCAGTAACTAAGACTCTGAATCTCTAACGAATCGAATAAGCGAAAGTGTGAAACTCGCTGCGATATGAATTGCATGGAAATGAGAATGGAAGAACAATAACAGACAATAAATCCAAATTTAAAGCTGTATATATATTTTGAGACTTGGAAATAAGATTAAATGAAATTAAATAAGAAATAAGTAACATTAAATAAGTATTAAAGAAAGATGGATCCATTATTTTATTTTCCTTTTACAGCATAAGGCAAATTCTACGTACCAGTGAGCAGTGAAGTTAACGAAATAAATCAAGAATTTGATTAAAAAAATGTTGTTTATAATATTTCTGATAAAAATATAATTAAATATTGTTAAACATTAATAAACACTAATCATTTTGCGCTTCTGCAGTTGAGGATGATGGTTCGGTAAAACCATCGAAACTAGTCCTGTGAAAATTTGAGAATATAACGCTGATTTTTTTTTTTTTTTTTGTTTGTTTGACTTTTTGACTTCTAAACTAAACATTAATCTGCTGAAAGTTTTCACGCCACACACATTTTTTTCATCTCCTTATCTAACATAGCACACCTGCGGAGGAGCAGTTAAGTCACTGAACTCTAACAGTTCGTTTCCGTGTTCAAGTCACGGTGAACGAGCTGGCTACATGAGACATTTTGGTGGTGTTATCCATAAAACTCAGTCTTTAATTAGATACGTTAGTAATGTCCATCTGAGCAAGTTTTCCTTAAAATGTCCTCCACGAAGGTTTGGTTTGTCTTCTCGTGATTACGGCAAACCCTAGAGAGCTATATGCTTAAGGGCAAGGGTGCCTTCGTGAAAGACCTTTCTAAGGGAAATGGCTGGTATACACGTTACACATGGCCAAAACCACAAAAATGCCCATGCAGTCAGTCCGTTCGCGGAATTCGAACATCGGAATGAACTACCAGTGTTCAACGACTTCAACGCTAGGTCCCTGGTGGGCCTCCTCCACGAAGGCATCCCTCTCCTTAGGCAGATAGCCTTTGCGTGCATTGCCATAGTTAAAGCAAACTAAACTAACCCAAAACGGATCCAATATAAGATTGATTTTAAAATTTTCGTTCACCTATTTCCAATCTCAGCGATATAACTAGTGTGCTTGAAGAAATTAATAGCTTAAACATCCCATTT